TCCGGCTCATGATTTGACTCCCAAAAGCACTTCTCCGTATGGAGTCATTTAGTACAGCTCTGTCCGCTTTGACACCAAAACAGGTGTAGAAGTCGGTGCAAACTAGTCAAATGCACGACAAGTATACCGATCATTAGTTGTCATCGACACGAGCCGTACTTCCTCGGTCCTAAAATAAATATCATTCTCACTTTCTAAGAAGTTCAACATTTTTAACTTTGATCAAACATATATAAAAAATATTTATATTTATGGTGCATAATTAGCATCATTAATAAACCATTAAATATATTTTCATCATATATTTGTTTAGAGATATAAATATTATTAATATTTTCTATAAATCTAAGTTAAATTTAAGAAAGTTTGACCAACACGTATTCCACAGCTACACTTATATTTTTAGCACAGAGGGACAAAGTCATATGCTGCCATGCCAGGAAGATATCACAACTCAGGTCGACTTGAGTACCGTAGAGAATATGATTCATCACTTGTCAAACTGTACGTCATGTTTACGTGGAAAATTTGAAGATCTGTACTAGTACTGCTAGGGCCTCCTGCAACTGCAAAGCAATGGCACGGGATTCAACGCCACTAACAAGAAGCCTAGATTGCTAGCTAGTGATCCTCATCTATTTAGGGCCTGCATGAGAGACTGGAGTGCATCCAAATAGTCAAACTTTTCTGGGCTAGCCTGTTCCGGATACAGCGAGTAGTGTTTGGTTGCCTGATTGTTGGTTTGGATCAGACTCCGCTGATGCAAAAGCAGCCAGCGAGCCTGAACCGAGAAATAAAAGTGAAATCCGTTTCTCAAGAGCTAGACTCGGCGGATACAAGATATTAAAAAAAATAATGCTACTAGTATATGACTAGAATAATTTATGTCAGACTCGCCTTGAATCTAGGCCTCCGACGCTCGATCCACCGCCCACTCTGCCAGATCTGCTGGCGCTAGAGCCTGGGTCGCCGGCCGACGCGCGGAGCTCGTATCCTATGGCTCGCGTCCTCAGGACAGTGGGTTTGTGGCCTCAGGTGCTGGGGAAGACGTCCTCAGCGCGCGAGGCAGGCCGCAATGTGGGGCCCTACCCCAAGCCCACAGTCCTTGCTCTCCCCGTTCGCCTCCCCCTTCCACCCAGAGAGGAGCGCGGTGGAGGCATTCCAAAGCTCGTCGTTGGGCGGAGGATGGTATGTTGGACGCCTCCGATGCGGGGTGCAAGTCGACTGTCTCCCCGTCCCCCTACCTCGATGCGGGAGTAGCAAACACGAACAACTTCGCCGGTGCCTAAGAGAGCCTGGATGTGCTCCATCGTTGTTGGAGGCACGCGCGATGCCGCCATTGAGATGGGTGGCCAGATCGGAGGCGGCAGGGCACGCGCAGGTGCCCCATGCATCGTTGGCCATGTCCGGAGCTCATTCACGGGTGTCCTGTCCGTGGCAGAGACATGGGCAGCAGGACCAACTAGGTTGCACGTGATTGCGCGCGGCGTGCCAGCCCATTCAAGGCTCAGACCACAGCCTACCTTCGGTGCCCGCAAGCGCTTCTCCACTTCGGGCACTGACGGGTGGCGCGAGGCCGTGTCGCGAGGGCCGTCAGGCAGCCGCAACAGGGCATGGCCTGCACATCCAGTTAACAACTGACCCTTTACCTGCATCCCGACAGACCTACACAGAAAGTGCCTCAACTTCCTCTCTTCCTCACACCTAGTGGCAACCTATAGGATGTGCCAACGCTTCCTGCGTTGCAGGGGATTCCGAGACCTCGCGTGCCACTGGTGCCTCTGCCAGAGGAGGCACACCTGGCAACACAGGCAGTATACCTCGATGATCTGCCTGGGACCACCACGACCACCCCTCGCGCTCACAGCTAGCGGCCCGCTGGAATCGGGTGGAGCTATGTTGGGTGCCGTTGGCCACGTCGGTGAAGAGCGTGACGCCAAAGCAGGCGACATTGGAGGTAGCCGAGGCGTGACAACAGCATGGTGGTGTTGGCTGACTACTTCGCCGCTGCTGCCGCCCGGGCCATTCATCGACTAGCGTGACGAGCTACGGAGGTGCCTCTCTGAGCTCGATCCATTGACACTAATGCCAGGTCTGGACACCTCACATGCTAGGCGCGACATCATGAACGACCTGATGCTGGAGGAGTTCATAGCCTCGCTCGCTGCCAGCCGGGCCATGAGAGGCCCTTCACTGGGGCGCCTGCCTCCAACTCTGGCGACCGCTCCTCCGCAAGATGAGGTCCCATCGGAGGCCAACTGCGAAGGCACCTGCGCTCCACCGGAAAGGCAACACGTGTCAGCCAAGCACGTTGATTCCGCGGATCCAGCGTGCTTTGGTGACCGCCCTAGCGCTTCCTCGACGAAGTGTCCCGCTCAGTGGGCCACAGATCCACCGCTGTCAGGGGCAATCACAGGTCACGCCACCATGGGTGGCGCAGCCCATGCCATCGAGTGTCGATGTATCTACGGAGGATGCCACGGGCTTTCCACCATGCTTCGGTCCGCCCAAGCCCTTGAAGAACGATGGCCTGCTCAGTGTGTTGCTGAGGGACGACCACTTGACTGTGGTCAGCGACACATCCGTGTGCGACACCTCAAGAGCTTTACCGAGCGAGTGCTGCAGAAGGTTTACTCCCCGTTAATTCGTCAGCCTCCCAAGCAATTGTCAACCGCTACGCCGGTGTTACTGTTGCGGAGCAAGCATCTGGCGGCTTAGAGCCTCTCTCGAGTGATTCAGCCTACGGCTATAATCTTGCAGACCTCCTAGTACACTCACGACAAGCACACCGTTTGGATGGTTAAACTCTTCTACCTTAATTACAATGATGCATGAACTTTTTGCATATACGAGAAAAAAAAGCATATGGTTTACAATTGGTTTTCACAGCTCACGACAATTCTTTTTTCGCAGCTCACAACAATTTCATCATACCTCAATATACTTTTTGAATGTAGCAGGTGTGTGTTGTCGAAGCATTCATTCGAGCCTTTATATTATTATCATTATATATAGGCTTCGCTGCTACGGAACTCAGAAACGCGGTGCTTGTGGTAGGTTTGATCATGCAGGTGTCTAAGCTACCTAGACGCCTAGCCACATATCCGTCCGTGCAGTTGTAGGCATTTTAAGCACGTCGAGATTCAATCGCTTTGTTTTGAAAATGCAATTTGGACCTCAAAATTCTCTGGTCCCTCAGCATGCAACCTGACTTAACATCCGTGGAAACCGCTGTGCTGCTCTTGGACTGATGTTGCTACTGAAATTTGACAAGACCACCAGTGCCTGTGCCTATTCCAACACTGGACCGGGCCGCACCGTAAGGCAATCCCAACAATCGAGATTCGTTCGTTCTGGGTTCAGATTTACTTATTGCGCAAAAACGAACATCAGTTTCTCTGCAATACCAAATCCATGAAAGTTTCATCTATCATTCTTGGCACTAGGCAGCACAACACAGAATCCCATTTCTTTGGCCGGCGTCCCGACACGGCTGCTTTGTCCGTCAATTTCTTGATGTGGGTAAGCAGCATGTTATTATGTCAGTCACTTCCATCAGCCAAGAGCACTGGTTTTGCCGCAGCGGACAGCACGAGGTGAGTGAACGCAGGAACACTTGTACGTACTATTACAGATGGAGCACGGCACAGACAGTGACTACTGGAGAGTGAAATGTGCCAACAGCCTACGGGCAAGTAAATTGTTGGTTGAGCTCATATGTTGTTGCCACGGCCATGTCATAATCAAACAGCGCCGCCCTTGAAACAGACTTGTGATTCTCATGTTGGACCCAAGGTCATGCCACCATCAGGGAGTGTGCTGTGTGTCAGGCCTGTTCGGCTGGTATTAAAGCCGGCTGATAAACCGGTGAAGATATTTTATTGTGAGAAAAAATATTTTAGATTCTAACTTAATAAGCTGGCTGATAAGTTCAAATGAACAGGGGCCTGACGTCGTATTCACCAGGCTGCCCCCGGCCAGCTGATTAAAAACATGTTGTCAATGACAAATCCTAATGAAAGACCTCTGCTCACTTGTATCTTTCCGCAACAAGGTCTTATCTTTGATCACCAATATTTTCTATTTGAACATGCATAAGTCGTCATATTATGAAACTGCCGTACGTTGAAATCAATTCTATACATATGATTTTGGTGATTCCAATCCATATGCTTTAACATAATATATATTAGACCCTGTTTAGTTCTATTTGCCATGGCAAAAGATTAGTCCATAAATTTTTGCTGCTAAACTTTAGTCTTGCTTGAGGTGTTTAGATTCATGGCAAAAGTTTGGACTAAAAGTGCAAAATAGGGTGTCCTTCACACTTCCCAATGCTTTTAGCCCAAATGACAAAACTTTAGCCCCTCTCTTTTGCTCCACCTATTTAGATCTATTTGCTCAAAATATGGGCTAAAAGTGCTGGGCAAAAGTTTTGACATGAACCATGTCTAAAACATACTTGCTCCATCTAAAAAAAGAATGTCATCCTAGGTTTAGATTAATTCAAACTGACTAGGTTTATTAAAAGTATGCATTCAGAACAGGAAAACAGATTGCTTTGCTTCTCAGTAATTTTTTAAAATTTTCATTTTAAATTTTCCACGGCGAGCACCATCGTAAAAAATGAAAGGAGGATATAGAAACTAGAAATAAAAAAAAGGCGGAGCATTAAACGACGGGAAGATCGATCAGCTACGGTGGGCGGAATAAGAAGAAGCAAGGACCTCCGTCCAACAACAGCAGTAAGACCAGAAATAAGACTGCAGCAGACGATTATATATGATAAATGTGAACGCAGCAGCGCAGCCCTTGTAGTGCTGTTTATGTTTCGTTATACTAGTAGGATGCAGAATGTAATAGCATTTAGAAAGGCGACGGCAGCGTATAATATGCACGGATCATCCCTTCACTTGGGGATCGGAAGATGCATGCATTTGGCAGCTACGCTAGCTTGCATTAACTGCTTGGTGTCGTCGTCGCCTTCCTGTTGTGATCGATCAGTAGGTGCTGCCGTTGTTGTTGGGTGGCGTGGCGTCGGTGACCACCTCCATCATGGTTCCCTGCTGGTCGGCCTTGCGCTTGCGTGCCTCGATGATCTGCTGGGTGTTCTTGTAGAACATGGCGTACAGGACCAGCTGACCCAGCGCGAACAGCACGCCCAGCCCGTTGGGGATCTGCATGCATGCGAGATTATTGCAGTGGCCATTCATCATCATCAATCAGCAGTACATACATGACGAGAAATAAAAACATCAGAGATTGACTGTAGGTAGGACTAATGCTCTGCAGGTGAGTTCGGTCAGGTGCACAATATATAACATACATATGAAATAGGATAGGATGGAAGAACCAGTTGGCTGAAGAGTACAGGTGTACTGGTTGCCTGATCCAAGGGGCATCAAGCAGAGGAGAGGGACTGTAGACCGTGGTGTGGGAATGGCAGTGTCTACAGGATAGAGATAAGACGGTGTCGTGTACTGCTGTTGTCGAGTACCGTGCCCAAGCCTTCAAATTCAGTCGTCAGATGCAGAAGATAGAACGGACATAAGTATATACATGCGCGTAGGTCCATGGATCCACATCCACCTGTGCAGATTTTTGATGATATATATACTAGAAGGCGCTGCATTGGGAGTATCGACCAGCAGATAGCTGTGGACGGACGCGAACCCGATGCCAGAGCCGGTACGTACGTCCAGACCGGACACAGATGATTGACTCGATCGGCTGATGAATGGAGGACGGTGGAGTGATGTGCATGCATCCAACACAACACGGCATGCAGAGCAGGGCTTGTGTCGTAGGTGTAGTTGGATCGACTAGGTGGAGGAGCTGCAGGGGGCTTGACGATCCACGCCACGGACGCTAGCTCTCGTCGCTAGGGCGAGTAGCCAAGTAGCGTTGATGGGAATAAGAAATGGCCCCTGCTGTGCTTGAAGACTGATTGGCACTGTTCAGCTGTTCTCCGATGGCGACGTTGCCATCATCAACCGACGACCGCAAGCACTCGGACAAGCGCTCGCTCGCTGCAGGAGCCGTGGAGAAAGCAAAGTAGCTAGCTAGCAAGCGTCGGTTGAGTCCGCCGCGGAGGCGCGGACGGACGCCAGGCCTCGCAACCGGTGGGCGACCGCGGCCGCGTGCTGTGTGGAAGTGGGAACGCGCGCGCGCGCGACAAATCGCCAAGATTTGGTGGGTGCCGCGCGCGACAGCGACGGCGCGTGCGCGCCCTGGGCGTCCATAGGCGGATCGAGTTGCCCGGGTTGGGCTGGTCAGGTTGGAGGCTCGGCTGGTACTCCCTCCCCAACACGAGGGAATTAGTCGTCACAAGCTGCAAAAAGCTTGCTGTCGTTGCATGTATTTCAAGCAAAGGGCTAGGGCGGTAGGGATGGGAATATGTGGGTAGATCCGAGCTTGGTCTTCGATCTAGTCCCATAGCCTTAAGGCCAATTTTAGAGGTCACACATGACACATAGGTTAACTTATCTCATCTAACTATTAAAACACTATCATCTCTAGCTTACTAATGGATAGTATGGGTGCCGCACGCGACAGAGTTGAGCGACGACGTGTGCTTTAGAACGATGTCTCAATTTAACATTAGCCTCGAACGGACAGGAGTTGGGTTGGGTTCAACCGAGACTAAATGTTCTTTTATTCCCGGTTGGAGCCACTAAGTAAGCTTGATGCCATTGCAACTGTACATTTGCCCTCGTAGTCGGAGGCCCTACCTTAAGCACAACTATGACCTTCTATGACAATTTGTTCATGTCCATGCATACCGCATGATGAATCGGGTATTAATATAATATTGGTAATGGTATCCACATGCACCACCATAGTGCATGCCGTGGCCTCAAGGATATACATTATTCTCTATCTCAAAAAGAATGTTATCCTAGATTTGAATTAAGTTAAACTTCATTAAATTATACTTAACACAAGGATAAACTTTACTAAATGTTATCCTATAGAAATTAATGTCAACATTTGTATCTCAAGTAGATTTAAGATAAAAGTATATCTCATTATTCATTTACTAATATTTATTATGCATCATAAATGTTAATATTTTTTTTATATGTATAGTCAAAGTTGAAACCGATTGACTACTTGAAAATGAGAATGACCTTTCTTTTTGAGGGGTTGAGCCTAAGGGAGTATATTTGAGATCTCACATGGTGAAGTTGCATAGACATGTAATTGAACGGCATCATCAAAATATGTAGAACCCGTAAAAATGAAATCTATTTATGGGTTCAACAACAAACCCGCTTGCATCCGAAAACCCCCTTGTCAATTTCCACCTAAGTTAAGCATGCCCACAGCCCACTTGTCCACGGCCTTAAAGTAGTCACTGCCAGATTCCCACTAATGTACTAGCTAGAGCTGCTGAGCTAGTATGCTAGGTAAACAAACTGAATATACAATTTATCCAACAAGTTACTAGTAGTAGTTGCTTACGGTGATGTAGACATCGAAGCGGATGAGCGCGTAGGCGGTCCAGCAGATGCTATTCGCGAGGGAGGCCAAGGACAGGAACAGGGGCATGTATTCCACGCTCTTTGTCTGGATCACCATTTTCTGAGCAATCATACAAAAGGACACACGCAGCACGAAGGAAAAAAAACTTTAGTATCATCATGAATAAAACATGGACAAAATCACGACATCCATGTGAAAAAGAACTGAGCGAATACCTTCAGCAATAACAAGGCATGTATTGCATGCACAAAAAAAAAAACAGAGCATTGGTATTTTTTTTCAAATGAATCAATGGCCTTGTTTGCTGGTTGGTTTTTGGGCTGATAAACCGGGCTGGTGCTGGTTTGTGTTGAGAGAGAAAACACTATTGACTGACTGATAAGCTCTGACTAAAATCAATCAGCGAACAGGCTAAAAGGAAGTTTATTCGTTCTATATAGTATACTGTATACTTGACAGCTGCTGTGAAAGGCAAGATGGAAAACAATCGACATTCGACCGCAGGGTTAGGCATGCGTGCGTCTGTGTGTGGTTTGTTTATTTTATTCTCCAATGAATAAATCTCCGTGGGCATGCAGTCAAATGAAATATAAAATGACCAATGCCATGTTCGTTTCCGATGCTACGTTCCAATCAGTTGCAGTGATTTAATCAGTCAGTTAAGAAAAACAAAACGTTATCTCCCCTAGGACCACACCCACCTACAATATAATAATACTTGCTCCTTCCTGAAAAGAACAAAATTCCATTACAATGCAAGTTTACTAAATTTATAAAAGCCATTAATACCAAGATGTCAAATAAATGTTAATAGACTAAGTATACAATGTATTTTATAGTATATGGCCCTCTTTGGCTAGTATTAAATCGGCTTCTATTAATTTGTACGGCTGGTTTGTTGTGAGAGAAAAATACTGTTCCACGGCTGATTTGTACGGATTAAAGCCGGCTGAATAGCACCAGCGAACAGAGCCTATCTCTTTGGTGTCATAAATATTAATATATTTTTAAATTTGATAAAGATAATTTAACTAAAACATGACTAGACTTACAATTTTTTTTTCTAAACCGAGGTAGCACTACTACAGTACTACTAGTAAAACACTTTAGGAGTGGTTAGTGGTAACCAAAAGTTTGTCATCCAATAATAATTAATCGATTAACTAATATGTCTAGGTGGTCACACCAGTCACATGCTGCAGCCATATACGTACCGCACGCAATATACAGGTAGCTAGTAGTACGAGTATCCGTGTAGCTAGCATACGTACCATGACACAGAGCGGCGCAGCGTACATGCCGGTGCCGAAGAAGACGGAGACGATGCCGACGATCATGGACCTGCGCTCGTGCGTGTGCGCGAGGCTGAGCACCAGCGCGCCCAGGGTGATGACGAAGGCGACCTCGGCGGCGAACAGGAGGACGACCTTGCGGCGCACCGCCCCCGCGGAGCAGAGGATGAAGAGCGCGACGTAGGAGAGCTGGATGAGCATGCCGGTGCCGTTGATGGTGATCACCAGCACGCTGTGCGGGTGCACCAGCGGCAGGCCGTACAGCACCCACATCATGCAGTTCAGGAGGGTCGCCACGTACGGGATCGGCGAGTACTGCTCCACTGCACGCTTCTTCCAGATGCTGATGAAAGTTGGCCTGTGAATGCATTTGTTGTATTTGATAATTTATTACTAGTATATAGTATGTACGTCTTACGTGTATGTATATGTGCGTACTGATATTCATAAATACAATTGTGTTTGTTTGCGCAAAGTCAACTGTCATCAAGTTTGTGACATTTTCTCTTCAGTACGTAGATAATAAAATAATGAGGAGTGGAATTAATGGATTCTTACACCGGGGAGAGGAAGAGCACAAGGGCGGTCCCATTGCCTGCAACAACGTAACACCCCCAAAATTAAATTAATGGATTCATCCAGTTTTGGATCAAACTACTTGCACTAGTTACAACAGACGAGAAGCAAAAAAACAGTGAGTGCACGTAGTAGTTCCAAATTGGAAAGAAGACATGAAAGCTCGTGATAAGGATGAACTAATAACATCTATAACGTCTTTGGGATTGGGCGCACCAAAGACAAAGCAAAAGAAAAAGAAAACAAACCGAGGAGGAGAATGCAAGGAAAAGGAAGTCGCAGGAAATGAAAAAAAAAGCCGGTCCACCCGCGTGATGGGCCAGAGGAGCGAGACCGTGCTGCAGCTACAATTTTTTTTTGATGTCTGCTGCAGCTACCGCTGCCGCTGTGGGTATGTTCGTCATGCATGTGTATGGCATGTTCATCAAAGTTCTCACAATAATGAAAGAAAGGGACCGGCATGCAGCGACGTCGGAAGATACGAGGGATGCGTGGACTCACCGATGACGCCGATAGCCGTACGGATGGTATCCTTCGAGACCATGGTCGGTGGCGCGAGCGAGCTTTGCTTTGCTTTGGCCGACGGATCGGAGAGAGAGCCGGTCGTCGACTCCCTAAGCTAAGAAAGAGAGAGAGATCTATGACAAATGTAGCGGGAGGAACAGGCTCCTCGATCTCTCCACCTTTTGTGCTCCTGCCGAGTGACACAGGCACAAGGCACCGAGGGGCCCCTTAAATAGAGGAAGCACGAGAAAGAAAGAGGACACCATCACGCGGCCCATTTCTACAGCTCCGTCTCTATCTCTATCTGACTCCTCTCTGGCTCTTGCTGCACAAAACACATGATACCACCGCATATCTCTGAGACGTACTCTAGCTGTAGAGTCTCCTCCTCTGCGATGCTCTGTAACTGATCTCTATCGCTAACGTGCCGGACCCCGGCCCAGGGACGAAATGTGGTGGGCCTCTAGCTATCCTCTTGTGATTTTTCTCCTGTCTCGGTGCTCTTTTGTATTTCCTTGTATTTAATTGGTTACGGCTTCCATGGTCATGTTGTCTCGGCGAAGCCTCGCCGCGTATGTGTGTCGTGTACATCTGGTGGATGATATATATGGCTACGTACACTCTTTGTGGCACTCGAGTAGGGATCCCTCGTAACTGATCGAGGCCTTCACATGTCGAATCCACGGCGTTGATGCGATGGGGGGCATGCAAAAGGCAAGAGGAATGATGCATATGTACCAGCGGTTACACATCATCATTATTATTTCAACTTGTTAAGCAATATACGTAGTAGCTGCAACGTACCCATGGTTTACGTATGCGTGGGCCGGACTGCCCAAGAGATAAACCTTCGTTCCTTAGTTGACTTTTTGGCTATCTTTTCTACGCACAAATCTTTTTTTTTAATCTTTCGGTAGTTGTTTGCCATATACACACGCGTCCACAATTGAAAACTATTTGATTTAAAAAAACATATCTACATTGGATAATATCTTTGGTCACCACGCCTCTATTTTATCTTAGCTTGTTCAAGTATAATAACATAATGAATAAGTATAATAATCAGCCATTCCATCTCTCCATCTACGAATAAAGTCATTCTAAAAGTTTTATATATATTAGGACAGAGTAAGAAAGGAGAGGGTAAATTAATGAATGTGATATCCCATAAATATGGTAGGCATTAATAATTAAATGATGAGAGGGAAGGGACGGATTAGGCAAAAAAAGTATATTTATGAAAAAAAAGATTAAATGCTAGAAATACTTACATTGCTGGATGGAGGGAGAAGGACTACTATCACCTTGAAGAATACTGAAGATAATAAGGATAATGCTATTTATCTGTCAACATATTTCTTCCAAAAAATCTATCAATTTTTCAACAAATTGAATATGCAAAATATAGGGTCTCAGATCTCTCTCTTCTCTAATCTTATCTTCTTCTCCCCAAAATCTATATTAGTAGTACTTATCCACATACTCGTAGCACGTATTGATAGATTTTCAGGGAAGAAATTTATTGACAGATAAATAGCAATTTCTAAATAATAAATGTAAAATGTCACTTATTTATCACTAGCAAATGTGCCCGTCCGTTGCAACGGGAGAAAACAATTATCAAACATTAATGAGAGATGAGGACAAGAGTGTTGCATATTTATTTGTATTTTATATTTTTTATAAAAATTAATTTGAAAAGCTATAAGTTTTATATAAGCACGATATATAATATTAAGAATAATGTTACTTATCCAACTAAGTCTGTATCGTATTATATAAAATATAATTTGATAGATTTTCTTTCCATTGTAAAACACAGAAATAGAATTAATCCCTACCCTATTCATAACAAACATTAAATTTGGTCCAAGCATCAAATTTTTGTGTCTTTAACATTAGAGATTTGATTAGACAATAAACCGTTCAATATTTCAATTTATGTTTTCATCAATTAGTTCCTAATAAAAAATACATCAACAACTTAGTAGTGAGAATTTTTATTTCTTAGCGAAGGGGCAATGGTTCAAAGACGTATAATGTTACAATTATTTGTTAACCCAAAATATAGCATTTATGATTTGTAGTAAGAAATATTCCCAAATCATACTTAAAAAGGCGACTTGAAAGATAGGCAAATAAATATGATAAATAAATTTTATTTAGAATGGGAATAAATATCATAACGTGGGCAGTCAACTTATTTTATATACTTAAAACAGAAAACTGGGATGCTGGGAAAAAACTTAATAAACTAAATATACTAGTATAATGCCCGTGCTAACGCAACGGTTTTATCTAGCTTCCTTGCGGTGTATCCTGTGGGTCCCACATCGACAAGCCCCTGAGCATTTCATGGTTGAACTCCGGAAGCCTTGTCTTGTTCCTCCAGGTCTTGCCGAGCAGGATTGAGCGTCGCCCGAGTGCTTTCTTGAGTGAAACCATATAGCGCTTCTTGGGATCTTCGAGTGGTGTGTGCTTTTTTGAAGAAAAAATACTCCCATCTTGGTGTAGCCTCCGAGCCTCTTGCTATTCGGAACAAGGAGCTGGAGGGTCTTGTCTTGAAATTGCTCTGATTCTTCGCTAGATCCGGGTTCTTTTTGTCGTGAGGCCTTGAAGTGGTCTGACTTGAAGAAGTCTTCTTGGTGACATGTGCTTTTTCGAAGAAAAAAGTGCACTCACTGAGTGTAGCCCCCGCCTCTTGCTATTTGGAACAAAAAGTTGGAGGGTCTTGAATCTTATGTTGTTTGAAAACTGCTGTCTTGAAGAAGTCTTCTTGGTGACGTGCGTTTTTTCAAAGAAAAAAGTGCACTCACTGAGTGTAGCCCCCAAGCCTCTTGCTATTTGGAACAAAAAGTTGGAGGGTCTTGAATGTTATGTTGTTTGAAAACTGCTGTCTTGAAGAAGTCTTTTTTGTGACATGCGTTTTTTCGAAGAAAAAAGTGCACTCACTGATTGTAGCCCCCGAGCATATACCTGGGTTCTTTTATTCAAAATGAACTTGAATACAGGATCTTGGCATGTTCTCTGGTAGTCTGCTGTTGTCAGATGTAGTTGTATGGTGGTGGTTGAGAGTAAATGCTGTTTGTTCACGAGTTGTATAGTGTTGGTATATTCTTTCGAATATGTTCGTTCTTGAGTACTGCTCCTTCACGCCTGAGTCCTCTTTCATTGAATTCTGTCTTTTAACTGTGTCCTTTGTTAGGTTTGTTCCGTTGGTACTCCCGGTCCATGTGCACCGCTTCTTTGGTCTATAAATACCCTCCTGGTGTGCTGTTTTGATTCATCGAACATTTTTTTGCATGGTCTAAAATCTCCGTAGTCATGAATATGATAGTTTGTGAAGTAGAGCAACCCCGAGCATATTTTGTAGTTCTTGTGTATCTTGTTGTAGCTGGAGGGAGTCTTGTGATAGGGATTAGAGGTAGACTAATCCCGCAGCGGCATTGTACCGGGAAGTATGTGGCGGTAGTTGGAGGAAGTCTTGTGATGTGGGATACGTTCCTTCATCCAGCAGTTCTGGGTTGATCCTCGTCGCCTGCCCTGAGACTGTCCGGTGCAGATCAACACCATATCCAGCATCACATCGGACTTGGGTAGACAGATGCCTGCAGGCTTCTCCTGGACCATGTTGGCCTGCCATACTGCTGATTTCCACCTTGGATGTGCTGCGTCCGTCCTTTGAAGAAAACAATGTAGCCGAGTGCGGTTTGTTCTACCGAGTAGCAATTTGGAACACGTAGTCGTTCCAAAGCCTAGTTGTGTCCGGGTTCCTCTTTGCTACCTTGCTTGTCGTAGTACCAAGTTCGTTGGGTCTTGTAAGATGTGTAATTTTCTATTTTTTGAAGCCATTTATAATGAAAAGAATCTTGTCTTCTGAATTGTCATTCTTTTTTCTGCTGAAGTCATGGTTGTTTATGAGATTTTCGAGTTCTTTCTATAAGAACCGGGTTCTTGTGTTCCTTGTGAGGTAACCCTTCGTTGCTTCATGGTTGATTAGTTCTTTTTGTAGCAATATGATAACTCCGCCGTGGTGCTGGATGGATAAGTCTGAAATCTACTCGTTGAACTGTACCGTTGTGTAAAATTGTGCCGTCCGTCATTTTAGCTATGTCAGTCGTGGTGAGAAATGAACCGTTGTGTTCTCATGCTGTGTTTAAACAGGCCTGATGGGCCGCGTTTTTATTGCTGTAAAAATCTATTTATATGCCTTTCTTCTTCTTTTTCTTTACTGCCCTGCTTTTGCCTTGAAACCCTAGTCTTCAAAACTCCGCCGCCGCCATTGTCACCGTCATCTGAGCACTGCCGCATTAGCATCACCGTTCCTTAGTGCTTTTATTGCTTTTGCTAGTATATGGGTAGGAAGAAATTAGCGAGCAAGTCCCAGGCAGCCTTTGTTGATGAGGAGGCTTCGCTTTCTGTGATTGAAAATCAAGAATTCATGGCCATGAGGGCTGCTCAGAAGATCTGGCCGGCTTCGACTATGACTGAGGATTAGTTGCGTGAGCTTGTCAGTGATGGTCTGATCCAGGGCAAGGAGTTTGCTGATTGGAAAGCTTCGGGCCAGCATCGGGTCCCAACTCCAGGTTCTGATAAGATTGTTCTTTTCGTCTCTTTTATCCATGCTGGACTCTGCCTTCCCGCTTCTGCTTTTCTTTATTGATTTCTCATTTATTTTGGGATTAACTTGAACCATCTTGCTCCCAATGTTGTCCTTCATCTTTCTGTTTTTGTTCATCTTTGTGAAACTTTTCTTGGAATTCCTCCGTCTCTTTCTCTCTTTCGTTACTTCTTTGTCTGAAGCCACAACCCCGTCGTGATGACACCAATGTTCTTGGTGGCTACGAGATTCAGTTTCGTTAGGGTCTTAAGAGTAATTTTTTTGATTATGACTTGGTTGATTCTGTGAGGGATTGGCGTGCCGATTGGTTTTATGCCACCAATTTGATTCCTCCTCTTACTGTTCATTCTGGTTCTGGTCCCGTGGTTAATGACCGATGGGAAAAGAACCCCTTAACGACGGATGAGCTCCAGGCGATC